TCAGTACAGAGAATCCCCAAATGGAACTTCTGGAAGTTTCTTGTGAGTCCTGAGGGCCAGGTGGTGCGTTTCTGGAAGCCGGAGGAGCCCATAGATGACATCCGAAAGGAAGCCACAGCGCTTGTGCGGGATATTATATTGAAGAAGAGACAGGAACTATGATGTGCACAAACTCCCTTAGAGACTCAAAAGTGAATCGTTGTGCACGTTTAAGTGCGTATAGATACGCTGTGCTATTCTGGTAAATGTGAATGAAACTGGCAGAAGATGTGTCAGTTAAAGCCTGTCTTTGTGTGCTTAATGCGTGTTAATGTTAGCAATAATTTGGATTTTTGGAAGTATGATTTTGAAAAACAAAACACCAACATCTGTCTTTTTATCAGCTTGATTATTTAAAGAATCAACCATGTAAATGTATCAAACTACTTTTCTGGCAAGTGACCAGAAAACCACTGAACAATTATCAAGTCCATAATTGCATATGTTGCTCTTTTGGAATGAACGGAGAGTATAGCGGATTAATGCATATTCAGTTACACTAGCACACGCCGAATTGAGATTACCATGGGATCAGAAGTAATGTTACTTCATAAAAGTATTACTTCGTCTTGGCCGTTACATAATGTTTACTCTTAGTCTTAACATTTCAACATTTTCCCTGTCATTGTCTTTGGTTATGAACCTGTTGAATAAAAGTCATGAACAATGCTTTGAGATATGAGAAACTGTCAATTTTAGCATTTGAAGACCAAGAATATATATGTTAAAATATATACAAATAAAACAAAAAAAAACATGGTTAATAGTTAAACCATGGTAACCACAAATAAACCATGGTTTTGCTACACTAACCATAGTTTAATAGTATTTGTAAAAAAAACTAAAACGGTGCAGTGGTTATACAAATAACCAATTAATCAATAAGTAACCAATACGCCAAAAACATGGTTACTGCACTTTTAAAAGCATGGATCATTTTAAATATTAAATTACATATTTCCTTAACATTCTTTCTTTCTTTCTTTCTTTCTTTCTTTCTTTCTTTCCCCCAGTGAATATTATGATAGTGCTTGGTCAGGTTATATTTTCATTTAAAAAAAAAAAAAATCTGATCACAATTAAATGAATGGCTTAGAGTGGCAAAAGTCTGAAATTACTGAAAATGGACAGCACAAATGGCTGCACAGATACTTTTTACAACCTACACGTGATGGATAGGCTTTTCTTGAGAACTAGGTGTCCCAGTCTTGACATCAAAATGGATAAATAAAAGTTTGACAACAATACAAATGGCTTTGTACTTTTAAAAACCAGAGTATTTGAAGAATTAGGCTAGATGTGCTTAAGAATGGATGCACTGAAATTGTTCTGTCTTTGCAGTGCGTGAAGAGAATGCTTAACATTTCAAGCCAGATGTCAGCTCAGATGCAACTTTCCCTTCTAGATGAAGGAGGTTTGGGTCTTCACACTGAACTGACTTCTGCATATTCCTCAAAATCTTCAGATGGTCAGTGGATGGAGAAAAAACAAGAATTTGAGAAGGAACAAGAAGCCATTGTCACAACACAATGTGAGGACAATGATGTTAATGCAAAGATGTTGCAAAATAAGAATCGTAATGGAAACAAAAGAGTTTATGAATGCCCTGTGTGCCTTAAACGATTTGGTGCTCCATCCAAACTAAAAAGGCATGGTCTTATTCACACGGATCAGAGGCCATTTCAGTGTTCCATATGCTTTCGTGCCTTCAGAGAACGCTCTCATCTAAAAGTACACTTCAGATCTCACACCAACCCTTCATCACCTGTCACAACTGCCAGAAAAAGGATCTTTCCTGTATCCAAGTCTTCTGATCGCATGTGTGCGCTTCAACTCAAAAAGAAAAGTGGATATCAGTGTGAAATATGCTTGAAAAATTTCAGTTTCCCCTCAAAACTAACTCGACATCTGTTTGTTCATTTTGACGTCAAGGCTTACACTTGCACAATCTGCAGGAAGTCATTCAAGCAAGCCTATTATCTCCATAAACATCTCAAGGTACACACAGAAAAAAGAAACGGTAATTCTAGGTCGTGTAGCGTCCCGCAGAAGCAAGGGGCCAAATCTCCAACACCTGGAGCTTTTGAATGTACAAATAACTGCAGACTAGATGATGGTAATGTGTGTTTACCTCAGATATTAGACTCTTTAGAGACCAAAAAGCATGAAAAACCTGAATGCCGGAGCAAGCTTAACCAAAACGTCCAATTGATAAAATCAAATTCAAGTACCGTAGAGATTAAAAGCTCTGACACTTTGAAAAATGCTGAAGTGCAGATCCCAACCTCCAGCCCAATTTACCTTAAGCACACGCATAAAGGTGTGAATCAGTGCAGCATCTGTCTGAAGAACTTTCCATATCCTTCTAAGCTTGCCAGACATATTTTGAGCCACACAGATGTCAGACCATTTAAGTGTCACATGTGCTTGAAATCATTTAGATATCGGTGGCATCTGCAGTGCCATGTGAGGATCCACAAAAAAAAGGGTCAGAATATAATTGCTGGTCATTTGGAACAGGATTGTACAGTTTCATTTAGTAATGCCGCAAAATCTGAAAAACAAGATGTGCAAATACCCTCACAAGATGGAGCTGAAAACTCTGCTAAAGTTCACAAAAATCAAAATATGGTTATGGATTCTCAAAAAACGAGTGGTGACTGCAATGATTCAGGTGTATATTTGCAAGATTCCCTTCTAAATAAAGAAGGTTTGGATCTTCACACTGGACAGAGTTACACATATCCTTCCAAACACTCAGAGGGTCAGTGGATGGAGGAAAACCAAGGATCTGAGCATGGACAAGAAGCCAGTGTCACAACACAAAGTAAGGACAAAGATGTAAATGCAAAAGTGTCGCAAAGTAAGAATTTTAATGGAAGCAAAAGAGTTTATGATTGCCCTGTGTGCCATAAACAGTTTGGTGCTCCATCCAAACTAAAAAGACATTGTCTTATTCACACGAATCAGAGGCCATTTCAGTGTTCCATATGCTGCCGTGCCTTCAGAGAACACTCTCATCTAAAAGTACACTTCAGATCTCACAATATCCCTGAGAAGCGGAGAGCACCATCACTCCAGAGCTATAGAAACAATAGTGTGCCCTGTAATCGAGCATCTAAGTCAAAGTTAAAACCCTCTCCAAAACAACCAACTGCCCAAGACTATACCAAATCAACAGATAATGAAAAGTCAACAGTGCACCAAGACCAAAATATGGTTACAGAGAATATGGCATCTCAAAAAATAAGTGGTGACTGCAATGATTCAGGCATATATTTGCAAGATTCCTTTCTAAATGAAGCAGTTTGGGATCGTCACACTGGACAGATTTCTGCATATTCTTCCAAACCTTCAGAAGGCCAGTGGATGGAGGAAAACCAAGAAACTGAGGAGGAAAAAGAAGCTAGCGTCACAACACAAAATGAGGACAAGGATGTAAATATGAAGGTGTTGCAAAGAAAGAATTCTAATGTAAACAAAAGAGTTTATGATTGCCCTGTGTGCCATAAACGGTGTAATTCTAGGTCGTGTAGCGTCCCGCAGAAGCAAGGGGCCAAATCTCCAACACCTGGAGCTTTTGAATGTACAAATAACTGCAGACTAGATGATGGTAATGTGTGTTTACCTCAGATATTAGACTCTTTAGAGACCAAAAAGCATGAAAAACCTGAATGCCGGAGCAAGCTTAACCAAAACGTCCAATTGATAAAATCAAATTCAAGTACCGTAGAGATTAAAAGCTCTGACACTTTGAAAAATGCTGAAGTGCAGATCCCAACCTCCAGCCCAATTTACCTTAAGCACACGCATAAAGGTGTGAATCAGTGCAGCATCTGTCTGAAGAACTTTCCATATCCTTCTAAGCTTGCCAGACATATTTTGAGCCACACAGATGTCAGACCATTTAAGTGTCACATGTGCTTGAAATCATTTAGATATCGGTGGCATCTGCAGTGCCATGTGAGGATCCACAAAAAAAAGGGTCAGAATATAATTGCTGGTCATTTGGAACAGGATTGTACAGTTTCATTTAGTAATGCCGCAAAATCTGAAAAACAAGATGTGCAAATACCCTCACAAGATGGAGCTGAAAACTCTGCTAAAGTTCACAAAAATCAAAATATGGTTATGGATTCTCAATGGTGACTGGGTGACTGCAATGATTCAGGTGTATATTTGCAAGATTCCCTTCTAAATAAAGAAGGTTTGGATCTTCACAAGTTACACATTTACACATATCCTTCCAAACACTCAGAGGGTCAGTGGATGGAGGAAAACCAAGGATCTGAGCATGGACAAGAAGCCAGTGTCACAACACAAAGTAAGGACAAAGATGTAAATGCAAAAGTGTCGCAAAGTAAGAATTTTAATGGAAGCAAAAGAGTTTATGATTGCCCTGTGTGCCATAAACAGTTTGGTGCTCCATCCAAACTAAAAAGACATTGTCTTATTCACACGAATCAGAGGCCATTTCAGTGTTCCATATGCTGCCGTGCCTTCAGAGAACACTCTCATCTAAAAGTACACTTCAGATCTCACAATATCCCTGAGAAGCGGAGAGCACCATCACTCCAGAGCTATAGAAACAATAGTGTGCCCTGTAATCGAGCATCTAAGTCAAAGTTAAAACCCTCTCCAAAACAACCAACTGCCCAAGACTATACCAAATCAACAGATAATGAAAAGTCAACAGTGCACCAAGACCAAAATATGGTTACAGAGAATATGGCATCTCAAAAAATAAGTGGTGACTGCAATGATTCAGGCATATATTTGCAAGATTCCTTTCTAAATGAAGCAGTTTGGGATCGTCACACTGGACAGATTTCTGCATATTCTTCCAAACCTTCAGAAGGCCAGTGGATGGAGGAAAACCAAGAAACTGAGGAGGAAAAAGAAGCTAGCGTCACAACACAAAATGAGGACAAGGATGTAAATATGAAGGTGTTGCAAAGAAAGAATTCTAATGTAAACAAAAGAGTTTATGATTGCCCTGTGTGCCATAAACGGTTTGGTGCTCCATCTGAACTAAAAAGGCATTGTCTTATTCACACAAATCAAAGGCCATTTCAGTGTTCCATATGCTGCCGTGCCTTCAGAGAACACTCTCCTCTAAAAGTGCACATCAGAACTCACACCAACCCTATGAAGAGGAGGACACGATCACTCCATAGCTATAAGGACAACAGTGTGCCCTGTAATCGAACACCCAAGTCAAGGTTAAAACCCTCTCCAAAATATCTAACTGTCCAAAACAATGCTAGTTCAACAGAAAAACAACAGTCAACCGTTCACCAAGATGCAAATATGGTTACAGAGAATGTGGCGCCTCAAATGATTAGTGGTGACTGCAGTGATTCAGATGTATATTTGCAAGATTCCCTTCTAAATAAAGGAGGTTGGGATCGTCACACTGGACAGAGTTCTGCATATTCTTCCAAACACTCAGAGGGTCAGTGGATGGAGGAAAACCAAGAAACCGAGGAGGAACAAGAAGCCAGCGTCACAACACAAAATGAGGACAAGAATTTTAATGGAAGCAAAAGAGTTTATGATTACCCTGTGTGCCATAAACGGTTTGGTGCTCCATCCAAACTAAAAAGGCATTGTCTTACTCACACAAATCAAAGGCCATTTCAGTGTTCCATATGTTGTCGTGCCTTCAGAGAACGCTCTCATGTAAAAGTACACTTCAGATCTCACAATATCCGTGAGAAGCGGAGAACACCATCACTCCAGAGCTATAGAGACAATAGTGTGCCTTGTAATCAAGCATCAAAGTCGAGGTTAAAACCCTCTCCAAAACAACCAACTGCCCAAGACTATACCAAATCAACAGATAATGAAAAGTCAACAGTGCACCAAGACCAAAATATGGTTACAGAGAATATGGCATCTCAAAAAATAAGTGGTGACTGCAATGATTCAGGCGTATATTTGCAAGATTCCCTTCTAAATGAAGGAGGTTGGGATCGTCACACTGGACAGATTTCTGCATATTATTCCAAACCTTCAGAAGGCCAGTGGATGGAGGAAAGCCAAGAAACTGAGGAGGAACAAGAAGTCAGCGTCACAACACAAAATGAGGACAAGGATGTAAATGTGAAGGTGTTGCAAAGAAAGAATTCTAATGTAAACAAAAGAGTTTATGATTGCCCTGTGTGCCATAAACGGTTTGGTGCTCCATCCGAACTAAAAAGGCATTGTCTTATTCACACAAATCAAAGGCCATTTCAGTGTTCCATATGCTGCCGTGCCTTCAGAGACCGCTCTCATCTAAAAGTGCACATCAGAACTCACACCAACCCTGTGAAGAGGACACGATCACTCCACAGCTATAAGGACAACAGTGTGCCCTGTAATCGAACACCCAAGTCAAGGTTAAAACCCTCTCCAAAATATCTAACTGTCCAAAACAATGCTAGTTCAACAGAAAAACAACAGTCAACAGTTCACCAAGATGAAAATATGGTTACAGAGAATGTGGCGTCTCAAATTATTAGTGGTGACTGCAGTGAATCAAATGTATATTTGCAAGATTCCCTTCTAAATAAAGGAGGTTGGGATCGTCACACTGGACAGAGTTCTGCATATTCTTCCAAACACTCAGAGGGTAAGTGGATGGAGGAAAACCAAGAAACTGAGGAGGAACAAGAAGACAGCGTCACAACACAAAATGAGGACAAGGATGTAAATGCGAAGGTGTTGCAAAGAAAGAATTCTAATGTAAACAAAAGAGTTTATGATTGCCCTGTGTGCCATAAACGGTTTGATGCTCCATCTAAACTAAAGAGGCATTGTCTTACTCACACAAATCAAAGGCCATTTCAGTGTTCCATATGCTGTCGTGCCTTCAGAGAACGCTCTCATCTAAAAGTACACTTCAGATCTCACAATATCCGTGAGAAGCGGAGAACACCATCACTCCAGAGCTACAGAGACAATAGTGTGCCTTGTAATCTAGCATCAAAGTCGAGGTTAAAACCCTCTCCAAAACAACCAACTGCCCAAGACTATACCAAATCAACAGATAAAGAAAAGTCAACGGTGCACCAAGATGAAAATATGGTTATAGAGAATATGGCGTCTCAGATTATTAGTAGTGACTGCAGTGAATCAGATGCATATTTGCAAGATTCTCTTCTAAATAAAAAAGGTTTGGATCTTCACACTGGACTGAGTTCTGCATATTTTTCCAAACCTTCAGAGGACCAGTGGATGGAGGAAAACCTAGAAGCTGAGGAGAAACAAGAATCCAGTGTAACAACACAAAGTGAGGACAATGATGTAAATATGACGGTGTTGCAAAGTAAGAATTCTGATGGAAACAAAAGAGTTTATGATTGTCCTGTGTGCCATAAACGATTTGGCGCTCCATCCAATCTAAAAAGGCATGGTCTTATTCACACAAATCAGAGGCCATTTCAGTGTTCCATATGTTGCCGTGCCTTCAGGGAACGCTCTCATCTAAAAGTACACATGAAAATTCATAATGTCCCTGTGAAGCGGAAAAAAACATCACTCCAGAGTTACAGAGACAACAGAGTGTCCTGTAATCGAGCATCTAAGTCAAAGTTAAAACCCTCTCCAAAACAACCAACTGCCCAAGACTATACCAAATCAACAGATAAAGAAAAGTCAACCGTGCAACAAGATCAAAATGTGCTTACAGAGGATATGCGGTCTCAAAAAATGAGTGGTGGCTGCAGTGATTCAAGTGTATATTTGTCAAAAAGTACTAGTCCTTTAGAGAATGTTGAGAACAAGGTTGTTTTCTCGTGCAACAACAAATCAGCTTGGGGTCTGACACATAAAACTGACATCTTGCTTGATGGGAAAAAGTCATCTGACATTGTGCCTTTTGGCAGGGTGAGTGACTGTCCACCCAAAACTGACTCATCTCGCCGTCATTGTGCTCCCGAATCAAGAACTGAGGAAAAATGGGCACATCACATGGATGATATTGAAGATTGTGTCTTTGTGGACTCTGACACTGTTGTGATACAGTGTGTCCCTGATTCTTATGAGCCCAGTTCTTGTCAGTATCAACAGAAACCTGATGACCCCAGACTCCCAGAAGTTTTTGTGAAGCTTGAGGACATTGAGGATCCAGGTGAATGCTTTATCAAACCTCCACATGACCTCCCCTTTTGTCCTGACTGTAGTCAGAGTTTCCGCACGATTAGGAATTTATATGGACATAATTGTACAAATAGGTATCCAGAAGGGGAAATTAAGAAATCCCACCAGTGTGACATTTGCTTCAAATTCTTCAATGCGCCATCCAAATTGAAGAGACACTATGTTACTCACACCGGTCAGAGGCCATTCCAATGCACACAGTGTCAGAAGTCCTTCACACAGTCCCATCATCTAAAAACACACATGCTGTCCCACAGGTAGAAGGGTTTCTCAAGGGTTGTCCAAAGATATGCCCAAACCAAAAGCGTTTTCAATTGTATTTCAGTTGTGTGCTATGAAGTTGTTGTTTTTTTAAATACGTTTGGCTTTTAAAGTGCCCCTATTATGGATTTTTGAAAATTACCTTTCAAGCAGTGTGTAACATGGCTCTAAGTGAATGAAAACATCCTGCAAAGTTTAAAATCTGAAAGTGCACCTTGTATAACGTTATCGTCTCTCAAACGAAAGAGTCGACTCTGAATCATTCAAACGAGTCATCTTTAAAACGAATCCCAAGCCGTTTCATGTTGAAGTCAACATGAAACATTAGCATATTGCCCGCCCACTTGTTTGTATTTTCGCATTGGTCTGAATGAAAATGCAAATTCATTCTTTGCCACTAGGTGCCGCTTTTGGAGCGGTAAAATAGCTGTTTCCCCGGTAACGCTGTACACAAAGCAGCACTGCCCTAAACACTGGCTGTGTCCGAAATCGCCCCCTATAGCCTCATTCACTATTCCCTACATTAGGTCACTAATTCAGTTCACTAGAAGGAGTGAATGAAAACTGAGTGCACCGGAAGGAATGCCGCTTTTGCATAGTTTGTGCTTGCTGTTTATTAATCATTTGAAACTAGCAAACTAGCAGCTCCAGTAGTAAGATTAGAGGATTTATCTTGAACTCTGTCACGGAAATTATGTATAAACCCTAATCAAACAATTTAATAATGAATTTACAATGAATTTATACCAGTGTTGTACATTATGCTGTACGCCATGGATGAGCGCTTTGTAAAAATTAACGGATTGATTATTCAGCTGCGGGCACCATCTTCTGGCGAGATGCGGGAATTCATTCGGCGCGTGACTCTCATGGTGCATTATGGGCATTCTCTAGCCGTTGAGCGTGCACCAGTTGTACACTCGTTTTTGCAGTGCATTGTGGGATTGAATGAGTGCACTCGAGAACGTCCACTATGGTTTCGGACACCACTAAAAATGGCTGTTCCCTCAAATAGTGCCCTATTTAAGGGTATAGGGGGCGATTTCGGACACATCCACTGCTTTATTAGGCATGAGGAAATCGACCAATCGCCAATCGGACCAATCACCGCAGATTAGCGTCACGCAAAGGAGGGGTTTGGAAAAATTATTCCTTGAGCAAATCGTTTGGGAGTCTTTGAGCTAATAAGGTAAAAAAAAATGCATATTATTAGACAATGAAAGTGTTTTTTGACCTCGCATGCATGTCAACCTGTTGTTGGGGATCCCCAAACCAAAAATTTTCATAGTAGGAGCACTTTAAAATTAATTTAGGATGTTTTGTTACAGTGTGATGTAATCATATATTTGTGTGATGAATTCATTTATTTTGCATAATACATTAATGTGTAAAAAAACAAGACAGAAATGTGCAAGTCGCTTTGGATAAAAGTGTCTACTACATGTAAATAAAAACATTGACATTTGGTGGGTCATTTCCCGAGTGCCTGTTCCATTTCTTCTTCTTTTAATTTAACAATAAATCAAGTAATTTGCTGCACTGTAAGAAATGTGCTTCAGATATCATTACAACAACACCAAAGTGTTGCATGGCATTTGACCATCTGTTTTAAATTTTTCCGACTTAAAAAAACATTATTCAGTATCTGTTATTTGCAGTACTTCTATGTATACCCACTAGATGGTGTAATTTGCTTTCTCACTGTTACCAATTTACAAAAGTAACGGACACTTATGGGCCACCGCAAATGTCTATAGCACGGAAATATGTCATTATGGTTTTTACAAAGCTACCAATCAGGTTAGCACACTATAGCTGAAATTAATGTATCCTATATAAGTATCCTTAAGCCTATCAACACATTTTATACATGACTTTTCAACTTAAACCTCTTTTTGTAAACTTCTGGAGTCCTTTCCTTCAGTAGTATGGAGGTGTAATGATAATTGAGAGTTTTGAGTTCAAGTAGGAAACTCTAGAAAAAAAAATCCTATGGTTAATTTTGTCAATCTATCCATATATTTCCTGAAATGAGGAGAGTTTATTTATTTTTACCTTAGCAACTAACAGGAAATCACTCCATGCACCTGTAGGCTTTATTCAAGTTTAATACGTGCCTGTTGTACCTGGGAACAAGTACCTCACCTGACACACTGACCTCTGTTATGCCAAGTTTTAATTGTATGTATTACCAGTTCCATTTGTTGATTCTGCCAATAGAGCGACAACAAACCTTCCCCTTGTCAAAATCCTTCCCATGTCAAAATCTTGGCAAGACACAGTCTAAGTTAAACACACCAGTTATTTTTGCAATTCATGTTGACACCTGGTGTCTTGTTTCATCAGACCATTTGTGCATCTGTGCAAACAGAGTGAAAGGTTAAGATCCATTTAAGACAAAACAAGTGATAGCCAACTGAGTCTTTTGTACTCTTCTGTGATTGAAGTCAGCAGCTGAATATGGTGAACCTCTTGAGAGCAGTTGGTACACTCTGCTAAAGACTGAGCACTGCCTGCAGCATAGATGAAAAAAAGCAATAAAATGTCCATTGTTTAGTTCTGAAAATTATCATTTATATTTTTGTCTTTGGAGTTAATGTCTTCAGCTGTAGCACAGCAAATCATTATGTGCTACAGGACTGAATGGTGTGAACGTGTAATTTATCCCATGCTATATCTGAGCACACTGAACTGGCTGTCCAAAACCTAAAAAGTGTGACCTTATCGGGCAGTGTCTGAAGGTATTATGCTTTGATGCAGATCCGTATGTCTGTACATTTTGAATCTTCTCAAAATGAGAAGTTGTAACCTTTTAGAGCATTCCAATGGCCTGAAGCCACAAGGGTCTCTCTCAGCTGTAGCCCCCAGGGTCTGTCTGCTGGCCCTCTCCTGTGTGTTTGTGTTAGTGGTAATAATAGAAGGTTAAGTGTGTGATGATGTGGGAACCAGTCTTTGGAGCTGGGGTGAGAATGAGAGGCATCTCTGAGGGTAGGAAGCCAGGATATTTAGGACAGGGCAGGGTCTTTTACTTCAGCAGCAGAGGTTCTGGTTTCAAGGCCATCACCCAGCCTTTATTCGAGATTATGTTTGACACAGACCACTCAATCATCAAACTGTGTCTGACCTTTGCAGTACTGTATCTGGTTATTGATTACTGATTTATTTACTGATATACCAGTTCACAACAATTTCGAATTTTACAACAAGTGTATTTTATTTGGTTTGCCTGACTTGGATGTCTAACGCATATAAATACAGCTGAGTGCAATGTGAATTATTGAACGTCAGTTCTGTGGGTCATGATGAGCGAGGTTAGCGACATGCAACATGGCTCACATCATAATTATGTAACCATACAGCTATTTATAAAATGTGAGTGACAATGTCAGAACATTGCTCAGTACATAGTATTGCATATCTGATTAAGTCGTTTCTGAAATCATACATGTGTTGTGTGATGAATGTCCCAATCAATTCATTTCAGCAAATCAGAATATGAAATGCATTGCGTTTCAGAGGCCCTGACAGCAAGCAATGTGTACTGTGACAAGACCAGACAGCATTACTATCCAGAGAATTTGACCCTAGTGTAATAATGTTTCTCTGCTCAACGGAAACCACAGCTCATCTGAAGACTTATGACCTGCAGCTTTCCTTTTTAAGTAACTAATAAGCACAAGAGGTGTTTAAAGGGCAAAGGAGATGCACGTATGTTTCAAAAAGAAAGATGTCTCGGAAAACCATTTGCATAGCCTTTTAAGATTAGCTAGGAACACTGCGAACAAAAGATTACTGTAATTTTGGAATACCGTGAGGAGATGCCTTCAATGTGAATGTTAAACAGAGTTTTGAAGTGTGAGTGGATTATTGGAAGAGCTGCGGGAGAAACAGCAAGTAGATCATAAGCGCAACTGCTGGCCCTTTAAATGCTGTTTTGTTGCTAAAAGGATTTAAAGTTTAGGCCTACTGTAAATTCAAAGCGAGTGTATTGCAGAGGAAAGCAAGTTGTGAAGACTGCATTTTCTGGGTAGACTTCATTCTACAGCAACACATATGTAAAAGAACAGCCTTGATGATCATGAACATTTTTGGGTATCTTGTCTGAAATACATTTCCAAACATTGGCATATTCGCACACGTGCGGTTCGCGCAAACATCAAGGTTATTTGTGTAGCAGCCAAATCACCCTTAACACAGCCACAACGAGTTCAAATAGAGGAAACCTTAAGCCCCTGCCGGCTGACAGATGCTCAGACAGAGAATGTTGGGGATTATGCAAAAAAGAACATGTTACATCTCTCAGTAGTCACATGAATTTAACACTATGAGAGGGAACGGTCATTACTTGTAGACAGTGTAGCGCAAATAACATTTCAATGGAGATCAAGACCCAGCAACCAGACATACTGGCTTTTGCCTCCGAAAATGAAATGCTGATACAGGAGAGAAGAGGTGAACTGAGAGGGATGATAACAGCAAAACTCAGCAATTCTTGGTTAAATAATAGAGTTAATAGAGTGCACACTGGCAGTGGTTGGTGAAGTGACTTCCAAAATCCCTATTTAACAATCCTCTATTTATTATTATAATTCTGCTAACTTAAGGGTGGTGGGTCTTTGACGTGGATTTTCAAGGGTGCTGATATGGTACCTCAGTGATCTCAGAGTAATCAGAGCAGCTTAATAAATTCATCTTAATCATCGCCTTTAAACGGTTGATGACTCTCAAGCCAAATAAAGTCTCATTAAGTATCTTTGATATCCAGTGCCAGTTCCATGCACGTAATAAAGCAGACAGATAACCCTACATGAGTTTTGCACTCTGCCTTTCATCTTCCTAAAGCTGAAACACTTCAACTATGATATAAATGGAAACAAATGGCAGGGACACGTTAGATGAAAGGGCTGGCCTGAATGGGGGATGGATGACAAAACAGCATTTTGGGCATCCTGTCTTGTCTATTGTGTTTTCAGGATTTTGCTCAAATTGAATTTGCACAAATGATAATTCGCCCTGATACATTTCTATTGTCAGTCCCCTCTATGTAGATATATCATTATGCTTCAAATTCTGTTTCCAAGACTAAAATATGATTTAATTCCAAAGTCAATTTACTTATCCCAATGTAGTGATATTAAACTGTGTATTATATAAAGATTATGGCTTCTCCAGATAGATAGATAGATAGATAGACAGACAGACAGACCGATAGATAGATAGATAGATAGATAGATAGATAGATAGATAGATAGATAGATAGATAGATAGATAGATAGATAGATAGATAGACAGACCACCAGACAGACGATAGATAGACAGACAGATAGATAGATAGATAGA